AAAATCAAAACAAATGATTAAACTCAATTATCTCAAAATAAAATATATGTAAAAAAGGGCTGTTTTAATAGATAACATCTAGGGCCACCGAAAATCAGCGATAGTATAATATGCGCATAAACCTGATTTTTATCGCATAGTATATGTGATGGCATATTTCAGATGCTAGAGCAGAATTCGCATGATTACTTAAAATTTCAGAAGTATAATTATATGTATATATATGTAAATATCATAATCTGCAATACTGGTATGTAACTTGGTCTTCATAATTCTGATTAATAAAGGTTTAACACTGCTAACATAAAAAGTTAAGTAATGGAAATTATGACAATGAAGCAATAATTCTAAAGATAGTAAAGTTCTATGAAAGGTTGCGTGTGAAAATTTAAAATGAATTTGGAATATGCTTCAAATTCACAAGTAAATTATAAGAAAAAATAATAATAATCGAAGAACAAATTAAAATAAAATACTTTTTATAGTTAAAATAAAAACTTTCAATATATACTATACAATTCATTATGCGAGTATTGAATTAGAAAAAAAAGTATAAAATTAAGTATTTGTCCTTTTTAAATTATATTAATATTTAGCATAGTTTCTCCAACAGAACGTAGGCTTGAAAATTCTGAATATAAGAATTTTTATGTAGATGGTCAAAAATTATTTTGTGAATTTTGCAAACATGTCATAGATCATACAAAAAAATCTACATTGGATTCACATTTAAAATCCGACAAGCATAAAAATAATGTAATTAAGGCTGAAAAGTTAAAGTCATCTCGTCAAACAACACTTGACACTACTAGTAATATTTTAAATGATCATGAACGTATTAATATCGCATTAGTAAAAGCATTTACTAATGCTAATATCTCACTTGAAAAAGTTGATCAGCTAAAAAGTTTTTTTTTAGAATATTGCAAAAATGGTATAGTAATTATTTAAACTTTATTAAATAAACTTTAATTTTATTTTTTATTTATTTTTTTTTAGGTGGTGTGATTGCAAGTTCTGACCAACTTCGTAGTAAATACTTAATAAAATTATATAATGATAAAGTATTAAAATTACAAAATCTTCTATATAAAAAATGAATTTCTATCACAATAGACGAAACAACTGATATATGTAATAAAGCAGTTGTTAATATTTTGTTTAGTTTTAATGAACATACTGTTTTAGTTAAAACTGAATTTATTATGATTGCTAATAGTACATCTATTGCGCAGTTAGTTATGAAAGTTATTCAATTTTATAATATTCCTTTTGAAAATTTTATTTTTTTTATTTCAGATAATGCATCATATATGCTAAAAGCTTTTGAAATTTTATCACCTTTAATACCTCAATTAATACATAACCGTTGCCTAGCCCATGTTTTGAATTTAGTCGGTGAAACATGGGTTCATTACAAAAATTTTAAATTTTTTTCTAGCATTATAAAAAATTATTAAAACATCTTTTGTTCAGTGCCCAGCACATAAAAGACGTTGGGTTAGTTTTATTAAATCTTTTTTAAATAACACTAATCAAGTTATTTTATCTCCATTACCCGTTAAGACACGATGGAATTCATGATTTAGATTTGTTTTTTGGATCAACCAAAATATTACACAATTACGTCAATTTTACTTAGAAGAAGAACAAATTAGCAATAAAAACCAAGCAATTCAAGAATTAGCAACAATTTTTAAAAATAATTCAAATACTTTTATTTTTGAAATTATTACTATGTTCATATCATTTAATGCAATACGGTAAGTTTATTTGTTTAAATTTTTATATACATTAATTAATTATATATATATATATATATATATATATTAGTCTTGTCGAAGATCTTGAATTTTTTGAAATTCGAAACAAACTTGTTGCGCCATTTGTAGCCCATCGGTTGTCTTATCTTGAAGCCGCATTACAGTCAGGTGTAATTAACCCTCCTATTAGTGAAGAAATGAGGTTTAAATTTGAAGATAATCAGGTTAATCCTGAAATATACATTTCAATGTTTCGTGAAGCATACCAATTAGCACTTAACAAGTTAAAAAAACATATTGATCATCATCCTGCACTACCATTGTTTAAAGCAATTCAATGCTTTGATCCACGATTCATTCATGTGCAACAAAATCGGCAAAATATCTATTTATATTCAGCAATTCAAGAATTTAAATCTCCTGCTAATCAAATCATTCAAGAATGGGGAATTTACTGTGAATTGGATGAAGATTTTTCAGGTGCTGAAGAATTCGATTTAGATCTTTACTGGCGAGAAAAAATCCGGAACTTGCCTAACTTATCAAAATTGGCTTTAGACTATATTTGGCTTCCGATATCAGGTGTAGATGTGGAGCGAAGTTTTTCCACATATAAAAATATTCTTGATGACAAGCGAACATCACTTTCAGAAGCATCAATTGAAGCACTGAATTTTATGTATTTTAATAATAATAGGAAAAATTAAAGTCAAATTATTATCATTAAGAATAAACATGTTCAATTTATTATTATTATTCGATATTAAATAAAATATTACATATAAGCATAATTTTTTTAATTCGCATATTTCGCATAATTTACAGCATATTTGGCACAAAATTTTCGCATAATTTCGCATAAATCGCCCTCTAGGCTAAGCAGAATTTGGGGTTTGTCGCAGCAGAAATTCGGTGGCCCTAATAACACCCCATATATGTACTGTACGTATGTGTATACTTAATTTAAGTATAAATACAATAAAAATTTATTTTTTTTGCCGTTGCCATTATCTATAAAATTAAGGCAACTCTGAATTGATAAATTTAATAATTAGAAGATTCAATTACTTTAAGCTTAAATTGTATAAGAAACTTTTATATATGTCTTAAAGTAGGCAAAATCTATATAAGCATTTTTATTTATAATAAATGCAGTAAGATTTATAAGAAATAATTATTATTTTATATATTTTTATTATTCGTGAGAAATTCAAAAACTTTGCTCAATCCCGCGGATCACACGCTGATCCCGCGCGTGATCCCGCATCCCGCGCGGGATTTTTAAAAAAATCGGGATTTGCCCATCACTACTGAAAGTAAGCAATTGACTTCTTTATTTATTCTAACGTCCAAGAAATACTCCCAGAGTATTATCCTCTAACCCAACTAATCCAACCAAACAAAGAACTAACTAATTGACTCACTAACTATCGAAGTAACTAAAAAGACCTTCTATCCTTTTCTCTATTCTCTTTTATACCTCATTCCCTTTGACCATTGTTCAAACGATTACTAATACTAATGACTGTTTAATGACTACATAATTTATGCATATGCACTAATTACTATATGGTTACCTCCCTCTGCATAACAGATTGTTTACTAATTGCATATTTCCTGCATCTGTACTAATTACTACATATTACTATCTACCTGCATATTAAAGATGTAATTGTTACACCATAGAGACCCGGTCCCGTAACAATCATCCGATATAACTAACCAATCAAATCACGGAATTTTTGATTGACCCGAAGATTTCTCAAAATTACGTATATATTTCCGAGTTTCGGCCCTTTCTATTGCAATGGCCCCATATAGTTAATTATAGATTTAATAATACAGTACGAAAAATTTAAATTCATTGGAACCTTCCTATAACCAGCCATAAAAATGGTCAAATTACGCATTCACACGTTAAATGTTTTCTAATCCTAACGTTGTAATAATTTTAATGTATAAATACATAATGAGTGTCATAATTAATTATTACACATGCAATTATTCAACTTTTCTAGAATCGCCCTGAGCATTTTGTTTATAATATAACATATAAATCTGTTTTAAGTATATCATAATTTAGAACAAAACAAGAGTCCACATATTTGAAAAAGATTTTTAGTTTAAAACATGATTTATTTAAAAGATTTTGTATATTAGGTTGTAACAACAAATTTAGATCTCCATTTCTTTCCATTAATATATACTATAATTAATAATGAAATACTAAGAAAACATATTATACTTATTAACGTAAACATCCAACGAACACCCAAGCTTTCTTCAATAGAAGTTTCAAAAATTGTTAGAACACCAGGTACACCAAATCTAATAAGACTAACTAATGCCATAACTGAAGCACCACGTCCAGGACATGCATCGACAAGATATGTAGACAATGTGTTGAATGCGCCTAACATTCCAAACGAACCTTTATAAAAAAAAAGACAAAGAAATATATAAAAGTTATACAAGTCAAATAATTAATAAAACGCAATAGTATAAATATATAAATGTATTAGTATTAAACTTACATAAAAACAATAAAATACCCAATACATAGATGTTAAAGTTAATGTCTAATAACCATCCATAAATGAAGCAAGTTATTGGAATTAATAATGAATTAAACCAAGCACTTTTTATTCTTACTTCCGGACAATAATCACCACCAGAAATCAATATTGCTTTTTTTGATAAAAAATCCGAATATTTTCCTCCAAATAAACTTCCAAACATATATCCAAAAGAAGGTGCTATAAAGTATATACCGATTTCAGAAGTTGTAAAATTATATCGTGCAGAAAAGTTTATAGGAATACTAATATTTTGAATATGAATTAATAAAGTTGATATACAAATATATGTAATAATTAAAGTGATATTTGGATATTTAAATAATTTTAATGGAGCAATTGGATTAAACCGTAGATTTGGATTATCCTTTAAAGAATTAAAATTAAAAGTTTCGGGAAGGAAAAATAATACTAAAATCAGATGGAAACCACCAAAAATTGCCAAAAACCAAAAAAATACAACGCCAACCAAGATATTGAGCTATGAATCCACCCAAAATTGTTGCTAGAAAGGGTCCAATCCAAAAAACAAAGTAAAATATTCCAAATGCACGTCCTCTTTCTGTAAACGTGAACAATAAAATTTTACAAAGATATAATAAACAATATTAATCAATAAAATTTAAAATCAAATAATTAAGATTTTACCAAGAGGACCGTAAATATCACTTATAACTCCAGCACTAAGTGGCAATATAGAAGAATTACCACAAGATTGAATGGCACGCATTGCTATTAACAACCAAATGTTTGTCGCGAGTGCGCACACCACCGATGCTGCAACATATACCAGAAGAGAAGCGACATATACTTTTTTTCTTGTTGCAAGTTCATCAGAACAAGCGGCCCAAACTATTGGCTATAATAATTAATATGATTTATTGGCGTAATGAATTAAAAAATAATACATTATGGAAAATAAAATGCACTTTACCCCTGCTCCTAAGAAAAATGTAAATACAGAACCTACAAATTAAATTAAATAAACATAGCATAATATATTAAAATTCAGTTTTGATTAATCAATAATCATATTTTTATTTCACTTATCAATTTATTAAAAATTACCAAAAGCATCTATAACTAAAACGGAAACATTAAAATCCTTTTGTATTACAACAAGAGCGGGAAAGTGTATCCTAAAATTTTAAATTTTAAAAATTTAAAAAGCAAGAATGTTATACAATTGGTCATAGAACCGTTCAGAAATGCAATAACCAATCTTATTAGCTCCATTCATAAGATTAATAATCCATTTAATTAAAAGAGTCAATTATACTGCAAAAGATCCTCTCCAAGTCTTAAGACTATATTGTTGACCATAGCAGAGAGACTACTCATAACATTTTTAACAGAAATATAATGATTAGGGCCTGAAATGCCGGCACGGTACGATTAGAATATATTGCAATCAGACCTCCCTAAATGCATAGTCTATCATGGTCCTGTTTGTCCCCAACTCTTATAATGCATATAGATTTTTACCTCCCTAAATGTCACACCTCCTTAAATGCAAGAATTTTTGATTATTTCATATAGGCCCCTTGGCTATAAATTTAGGGAGGTCTGACTGCATGTAGATGGGAAATGCATAATACAGTAATATGTGCCTTGCAGATACTGTATTTGCAGAACCCTAACGGTTACATATCGGTATAACTCGTGACCTTATAGGTGACAATTGTCTAACGATAAATTTCCTAATCGGATTCACCAGATAATTCCGGTTCAGAAAATTCCAATTTCAAACTCTGGGATAACATTAGTTGATAGGATCGACAAATTATCGACATCAGTTAAATTTTTTGTTTTCCCAGAATTTGAGCATTGATTCAAAACATAACGTTAACTAGTCATTAAGAAAAACACTCACGTTCCCGCAATAGGTGTCGATATTCCGCAGATAGTAACGATGCTCAAAATTAACAATTTCTTTTTTGAAGACCAATTTGTTGGATCATCAGCATTATTCAAATTTTCGTTTACAGCCGAATTATCATTAACTAGTATTTTTATTGAATTTTTAAGATTAAATTAGATTTACGGTTATCATTTTGTTTTTTCATCACTTGACTTTGGCCACAAGATAGCTAAATAATTTAAAAATAGGTGTATTTCAGTTTTACCTTCATTTTTTTCATTTTTGGAAAAGTTTGGCACGTAGATTTCATGAGTGGCTTTCTCAAGTTCTAGAGAAGTTTCAAAAGGTAAATTTTCAAGTTTTAAAACCTGATCCTTAGAATCTTTAATAAGAATCTTGATTTAATAATGAGTCGATATAAAAGAAAAGGTTTAATATTATTTATTTCTATACCTAAAATATTTGTTGAATTTGTTATGTCCATTGCGATAAGAAAAAACAAGAAATTAATTAAATCTTTTAACTTTATACAAAACTCAAAAAATATTCTGTCGATACATGTATTGCATATGGATTAACTTTTATCCAGACTAAAGAATCTGCGAATTTTATTTTAATCTTAATTTTCATTCCCAACAAATAGAAACTTAACTAATTGATAAAAAGAAAGTTACTCAAAAATAAATAAACTTCTGTGCTAACGAAAATAGCACAATATTGTTACATAGTCAAATATGCAGGTAAAAGCTTACCAATTAAAAACCTGCAAATGAATTTGGAAATTTACTATGATAAGTTATTAGAACAATAATGTAGTACAAAGCATTTTAATTCATCAAAGAACCTACCTATAACCATAGAAATGTGATAATTATTACATATTCTCACCTTAAATATTTTCTAATTTCATCTTCGTAATAATTATAATGTATAATTATACAATGAATGTGTCTTAATTTAAAAATTTTAAAGACTATATTGAAATCCCGGGATTCGCTGTAAGAAGAATTTTTTCGACAATTATTAAAAATGTCATTTGAAAAAATTTTTAATTAATTATCTTCAGTTTTATTTATAATTTTTAAAAAAAGAAGTTTAATATTTAATTTACGGCATTCTTTTTATTAATGTTTCAATATTTTCAATCAAATACAGTTTCATTAATAAAGTATACGTAGCATTTAAAAAATTATTACGTACTCGTGGAGCAATTATAGGACCCGGTCAATACTATCTAAATGCATAGTTGTAAAAAAAAAAAAGTTATTAGTATCTGATTGGTTAATACCGTATAAATGCATAAAATTGAATTTTTTTTGTCTTTCCCGACAGTATGCATTTAGACAGTATTACAAAGTTTATTATACGTACATAGAACAAAATGTCAGAACAATAATTTCGAGTTTATAACATAACAAGTTTTTTAAGATTATACTTGATCAAAAAGTTTCATGTAACATCAAAAGAAGATCAAGCCTCTCATTTCAGGTTTATTATTTATTATTTATCAGATCCAGACCTGACCAGCGTCATAGTTAAAATTATTTAAAATTATACATGCCTTTAATTATGGTTAAGTTCGGTAAATAAAACTTGTATGTGAGAAGTCTAGTTTTTTTTCATTGAAATCATTCATTTGTAATTGACTTTTTTTTTTTTTTGTTTTTTTCCGACAAAGTTAACTTTTATATTTTATTTTATTTTTTAAACCCTTGGCATGATCGCCACAAGAAGCTAATTGGTATATAATTTATTTATTAACTCATTTTAGTTAGGAGGCCTTCTAAATTTGTAAGATCCCTACATTTAAGAAATACCTGAGTTAATTAACTATATACTTTTTATACATTGACTATTTGAGTTGATCACAACTGAAATTTCGCCAACAGTATTCTAATTTATTACAACCGGATTTTATTTGATGATCCAATTGCAACCGGAAATTTTACCGGAACACTCTTTTTCCTGGAGTTTCTTAGTTTTTTTTCGACCAGAGTTTCACCAGAGGTGCACTTATTTCATATTTATCTTGAGGCGTCCCTTTTGGAGATCTGTGGTTGATTTCAATCGTGGCATGGTTTTGTCCTCCAGTATAACTCGAACTAGTGACTTTGCGATTGGAGCTCGAGAGCGCAAGCACTACTCTATTGACCCATGGATCGTAAAAAAGATACTTTCTATAATTCGTATATATACTTTTTTAAATTTACAATTCAAATATTTTTACTTGCCTAATTATTATTATTTCGATTTGTACACTTCAAAAACATCTCAAAACGCATTAAACTCATTAGAAGCAGAAATGATTCCTTCTGAACAAACTTATTGGAAGTGGTTATAAATATACATGCCGTAGAAACTATTTCGGCATAGTTTCTACCTATGTTTTGGCATTCGGTATTGCCTAAAGCCGAAATTTATGCCAAAACTAATAGTCAATACCCAAAGCCCAAATTAATGCTGCAAGTGTCAAAAAGTGCCAAAAGCCTAAAATATGTCCATTAATTACATATTTATACATTCGTTATATCAGTTAAATAAATTTATAAAATTTTATGTATAAAAGTATCATTCGTTATATCAGTCAAATAAATTTATAAAAAATACTGTTACCAATAATTATTACATTATTTTAAAATCCTTTAATTCAAACTATGAATTCGGCTTTCTTCATACTTTTTCACAAAGCGAATGACCCAAAAGAAGGGTGAAATTGTATTATAAAAGGCCAGACTAAAGATCGTGGTCATAATAGTGTAAATGTGAATGTGGTAAATCTTGAATACGTGGGAAGTTAAAAGAATTAGAAATCATTTGGCTACTGAATGTCTAAAAGTCGATATTGAAACTAGACAGATTTCTTCGAATAGTAGCTGCTTTGATA